AATAATTAAAGTTTTGTTATATGCATTAAATCTCTTTTAAATTAAGATTGCTCTAATCTCTAGAATCTGCGGTGGGAGCATACTACAGTGATCCATAAAGAAACTTTTTACTGTAGTCTCCAGATGAAATTTCATAAAGATAAGTATTCTGAGTTGTAGTTGTTTATTTTTAAAAGCCCATAAAGTACTTTATTATTTATTTAATATGTTTTTATTTACTTATTTATTATTTGCTTTACTATTTATTTAATGAAGTATTTTATTGACTGTATAGTAAAAAGTAGAGAACATTATCTTCATGCAAAATAAAACACAGGCTGTAATCCCAGCAATTTGGGAGGCTGAGGCAGGCGGATCACCTGAGGTCAAGGGTTCAAGACGAGCCTGGCCAACTTGGTAAAACCCTGTCTCTACTAAAAATACAAAAATTAGCTGGGCATGGTGGCGGGCATCTGTAGTCCCAGTTATTTGGGAGGTTGAGGCAGAAGAATCGCTCGAACCTGGGAGGCAAAGGTTGCAGTAAGCCAAGATTGTGCCACTGCACTCCAGCCTATGTGACAGAGCGAGACTTTGTCTCAAAAAATAAATATTAATTAAATAAACAAATAAAACACAGTGAACATGAAGAATAGACAAGGAACACAGAGACTGTTAAGTTCTAGTACTTTTTAGAGACAGTTTGAGGTGTTTTACTTTTTGCCCCTGGGCCTGTACAAAATTTTATGATTACCTCAGAAAATGTGGTTTTGTTTCTTATGCAAATTTATCTTTATTCATTTAATATATTTTCTCCTGTTTAAAGTTAATAACAAGTCTTATGCTGATAACATCATTTATCATGTTACCAGGGAAATTTTTTCCTTGCTTTTAAAAAATGTCATATTTTCTCTAGAACATTACAAAGTACCTACTACGTTTACATAAATTAGCGCGATTTAATTAAAGGAAATACTATATTGAATTCCTCATTTCTGAAACTAGATATCTATGACTTGATCCTAAATTTGTGTATCATTTTAGGAGATCCTTACTAATAAAGTTTATTTCACAGGCTGCAACAAAGATAAGCCGGCTTCAGTATCACTGCCAATAAAACAAAACTTGTCAGACTGGAACGCAAAACAGCCTTGAAAGGGTACTCAGATTGGGCTCATTATCACAGACATCACTGTTCTGCTGTCTGGCAGTAATCCCAGGTGGGGATCTCTCTCTTTAGCCTCCCTAACTTATTTTATACTGAATGAAATAACCAACTCTATCATGTCAAAAGAGACTCACTTGAGCAAAAGAGAATTTATGAACTCTATTCAGTGGTGAGTAACTTGACTGCTTAGGAAATGTCTGACACAAAAATGTGCTCAGTAGGTTATGCAGTGGAATTGAAAAAGAGAGAGAGGCTTGAAATTAAGGCTCGACTAGGATTAAGTTTTTCCGAAGTACTAAAATGCCTTAGAAAAAAGACTTTTTTCATTTCTATGTGTACAATTCTAACGTGGATATTGTGTTCACTTTCCACTCTAATTTAGACCAGTTGAAAGGAATAAATAATGAAGTGCTGACATATTTATTTTGCATCTTCTAAGCTTATCCATTAAAATAGATTTATCTGCACCATTTCCCTTAAATTACAATCATGCCCTGGTTTTACAGCAATTTTCTGTATTTTGTGAAATTATGCCTCCAGGTGCTTATCATGCACTTGGGGGTTGCATTGTTCCACCAGGTCAGAAGCATGTATATAGTCATGCAATTTCTTCCAGATGTGAGAGCTCAACAGTCTCTGCATCCCAAACTCCAATAAAATACAATTTATCCACTTCTGTGGTCACAGATGTAATGTTATGCATATATGTTGCTTGCTCAAAGATTCCTTTGTAGAATGGATTTCTGAACGTTCACTTTCTTAAAATGTAGATGAAATCCATATTTGCTTCACAACTACTTTTTAAAGCAATTTCAGTAGGTTTGCTCAATTTGGAGTTGGATGAATGACTATTTGCTAAGGTTTCTGATTCTGAGAGATTTAATTCTAAATACAATCTTGTATGTGTGTAAAACATGGAGACTTTCAACCTGTTTTTTAAAGAATTCATTTTCTGTTTGGTCATCATCTTTTCAGCCCCATTTCCTAAATGCAATGCATGATGTTTTCTGAGAGGAATTTGTAATAGGGACTTTGAATTCTTACCACTTGCCTCTCCAAACAAACCTAATGGCACTAGTTGAAAAAAATATACTGTTTAATTATTTAAGAAAGCTATGTTCAGTACTTTAAAAATAGTATTTTGTTATTTTTAATTATAAAAAAGTAGATTATCATTGTAAACAAAACAACCATATTGAATGTGAGTGAAGTCAAACATGGAAATCTTCCTCCCTCCTGCTATGCTTACCCCCAGAGAGGTAAACACTTTTTAACTGTCATTGTATGCCCTTCTGGAGCTTTTCCCATTCCTTTACTTGTGTATATTAAGTACATGAACCATGTGCAGCTTGCTTTTTTCACTGAACATAGAACTTGGAGCTCTTTCCCTATCAGTGCACATACATTGACTTGATTTTTAAAATCCACTGCACGGGCCATAGAACAGATTCAGCTATCTTTCACTGATGGATATTTAAGCCATCTGTTTTTTTACATATTGAAGTGTCTCAGTGAACTTATGTATGTAGTATAGATTCCTAGAAGTGGAATCATTTTTGGCAGATATTGCCAGATTCCTATCCAAAAAGGCTGGGTTTACCTACGCTCCTCAACATCTTACTCTTTTGCCAAAGCTGGACAGTTCACTATTTCCAGATGTTATGTTAGTATTATAATAATTTCTAAATATTAAATTTATATTTTTAGGCTTTTAACTGAATGTGTAAATGTCTGTGACTGGTATTTTCTTTAAATTTATGTTGAGATGCTTTTAGTTCAATGTGTAAAGGTTTATGACAGATGTAAAGGCAATAACTTCTTACCAGCATAAAATATTTTTCTCTACTTTATTGCTTTTTACCTTGATTCCTCCTTTTTCTGGTATTAAAAGCCCTGTTCCTGATCTTTGTTGGCACTTTGCTGTTTATATTTCTATTCCTTTATTTTCAATATTTCTATTTCATTTTATAAAGATAATGTAATTAAACGTTGCCTTTTTACCTAATCTAAGAGGCTTTGGCTTATTAATCAAGGAGTTTTTTGCATTTATTGTGAATCCTGAAATGTTTGCTCTTTTTCCTGACATCTTATTTAAAATTTTCTCTTTATTAAGTGTTTATTAGTTTCTCTTCAACTTTAAACATTTTTTTCTCGATTTCACTGAATTAATCGGGTTTCCTTTGTTTTTATTTTTTTCTCTTATGATTTGGAATTCAAATCCCATTTCTGATCTATGTCCTATTTCTATTTTACTAACAGTTACACTTACATTTTAGACATAAACAAACACATATAAACAAGTTTTGTTTTGATCTTTATGAGATATATACATATTTATTTATATTCACGTTATATGTTTAGTTAGATGTTTTAGCAATACTGATTGAATACTTTTTATTTAAATGAAAGAAGTAACTTTATGTAAAATAGCTGATGATCATTTATTAATACAAAGTCCTCTATCTACCTCAAGTATTAAACAGGCATAACATAAACAGTAAATTAAAATGCAATGTTAGATACACATTATTTTGTGAGTTCCAAACTTCAGTATCAACAACTTTAAGGACTTTTTCAATAAAAACATATATCAGTAATAGCACTGTTCCAAGCATTTCCATTTTTATATAGCTTTATGTTCTTTTGCTCTTCAATATGTAGTACTTCTAAGTTATTTATAACTATTAATAAAATATTACTTTTTAAAATTTCCTCTGAAAATAATTTTATGGTATAATTTGTACCACATGATTTTCGATAACAGAATGAGCCTGGACTGCAGCAAAATGCCTAACAATGTATCCAAATATGTGGCAATGTTGCGGTAATAGGATCTGAGGCTCTTAAAGAGCAAAAGCCAGTCTGTTTCTGTGAAGCACCAGATTCTCACCGTTTACCTTAAAGGAATAAAAATTAAATTATTTTTCAGTTCAAAAGGCTGCCTGCAGATGTACAGCACGGAGTTGTAAGAGAAATAGCCTTAATTATAGACATGGTCACAGATACTGTACTGGTCTAGATCTGCCCTGTCCAACATGGCAGCCTCTGGTCTCATGTGACAGAGCACTTGAACTGTGGTGAGCTGGAACTGACATGTGCTTTAAATGCAAAATGTACAACAGATTTCAAAGACTCAATACAGAAAAAATTATATAAAGTATCTCATAAATCTTATATTGATTACATGTTGAAATGATAATAGGATATTAATTTTATCTGATTGCTTTTACTATTTTAATGTGGCTACCAGAAGGTTTAAAATTTCATATGTGGTTCTCATTATATATGTGTTCAACAAAGGTCTCCTAGATGTCCTTGGATCCACTCGAGAGATGACTGATGAAATTATGACTGCAAAGAACACCATTCTCCAAGAGCGGTGACAGAGTGTAGGAAGGGTAGCACCTCCCAGTGGGGCTCTTAACTGCCATGCACAGTAGGTGCTGTGCAACCCCTAGATTCTACTCTGCTCAGAGGTAATGTGTTAGTTATCATTTTCTTGGAGCTCCAATAATTGTCTGAACAACACTTTTTGACAGTTCCAGGTCTGTTTAGTTTAATTCAGTCCAAAGGATTTTTCAGCAAACAGGAGAGTATCCTCTCTTTAATGAGACAAATGTCTACTGAAGTCTTTTTAAGGCAAAATGTAGCTGCCTTTTTTTAAATTTAGTTATCATATATTCCAAATTTGTGATAGGGCCCAGTAATGGGAGCAGTGGCTGAATTTCTGAGTCTGGATTTACTTTGTTTTGTACTGTATTATTCCTGTTTTCTAAATATCCTGACAATGTCATCCTTTTAGGAAACAATGTGATCTTACTGTTTGCTTTTTCACTGTTCTAAAAGTTTAATGGATGTGCTCACTTTGGCAGAATATATGCTAAAACTGGAACAATAGAGAAGATTAGCATGGCCTCTGAGCAAGGATGACATGCAAATTCATGAAGTATTCCATATAAAAAATGCTTTGAAATAAAAAAAAAATTTTAAAGATTAGTGGATAAAGCACATAGCTTAGTAGGGTTCCCTGCAATGTCCTCACCCCCTGACCTCCTGCCTTCTGTCCTTGCTGTTATGAGGCTAGAGCTTGACCCACCCCAACCCACCGCACAGGCTTCACTTCAAATCCCTCACCTTGTGCCTGCCGTGGGACCCACCTTTCAATCTCAATGCTCTGGTCCTAACCCTAAATCTACATACTTTCTCCCAACATCAAGACTTACCTGAACATATGCCAAACTTCCTCAAACAAAACATAACACAATAAAATATGAGCAGCTGTTTTATTTTTCTTATATTTTATTCCTGTTTGTTGAAATCTTCTAGAATCTTAGTTTTGGATATTTTTAATGTTATGTTTTTATTTCAGGAATTCATTTTAACAGTTGTATTAAACTGTACAACTATATTGTCAAAAATTATTTAGACTTTGTCACAGGGTTGGCTGGTTCCTTTGCTCATGGTAGCTTGATACCATAGCTTTCCTTTTGCTGACTTCTTTATCCTGATTCGTTTTTCATTTGCCTAAGGCATTCTTTTTCCCTTTTTTCCCCAGAAAGAATATACAAATGATAATTTGGGGGTCCATTGTGTTTAAATAAGAATTTACTGTAGTCCCCCATTTGACATCTTAGATCTACAAAACTAATCGCAAAATTATTTGCCCCCCGAACTTTATAAGCATGTTTTATTATTATTACTATTATTATTATTCTTTTTAGAGACAGCGTCTCACTCTGTCACCCAGGCTAAAGTGCAGTGGTACAATCATGACTCACTGCAGCCTCGAACTCCTAGGCTCAAGTGGTTCCTTTACCTCAGCCTCCCAAGTCTCTGGGATTACAGGCATATGCTACCACACTTGGCTAATTTATTTTTGTAGAGATGGTGTCTCACTGTTGCCCAGGCTGGTCTCAAACTCCTGGTCTTTAGTGATCCTCTCACCTCAGCCTCCCAAAGCGTTGGTATTACAGGTGTGAGCCACTGTGCCTATTACTTTGCAGTATTTAATGTTATTTGACACTTTAGTCTTTTACAGATTGCCTGTTTGGTTGTGCTCTCTTGCTCTTTCCCCAGGCTCAGAGACTTTACCAAGATATGTCTCAATCCATCCCCACGTCTTGTTTAACACTCTGTTGAAAGAAAACTCCCTCTAACTGCACTTTTCCTCTACTCTCACATAACAATCAACACAGAAGACTTCTGTTATCAAATGTGGGTTTTTTTCCCCCATACACCCATCAGCGGACACCAGCTGCTTGTCCTCTAATTCAATTCCAACACGGTTTACCTAGAGATAGTGTCAGATGCCACAGGCTGAGGGGTCAGTCCCCAAGAATCCTCCTCCACACCAGTTGCCAAGTCTGGGCCTTCAGAACTTCCGACCAACCGGCTTCAAGTTAAGTTTCCCATGACCCCTTCTTTGGGTTCAATGAATTTGCAGAAGCGCCTTACAGAACTCAGGGAAGCACTTGCTTAGTTCGCCAGTTTATTGCTCTATACTGGAAAAAATATAGATAAAGAAACACTAGGGTGAGTATGGGGGAAGGGGCTTGGAGCTTCCATGCCCTCCCTGGGCGTACCACCCTCTAGGAACCTCCACATGCTCAGCTATTGGGAAGCTTGCTGAACCCTGTCCTCTTGGGGTTTTATGAGAGTATAAATACCCACAATCAGAAAGGTGGAAGAACATTAGGGTGGAAGGAGGCCTAACACATCTAACATCATAAAAAGCTATATAAAGGCTGTGGGAGTTATAAGCCAAAGAACCCTGGATAAAAACCTATATATATCCTAACACCACACACTTATTAGATGCTTTTGATATGAATTATGTATTTCACTCAGAAAAATTATCTGTTAATAATGTGATTATAATCTCCCTCTCTCCTTTTTATTTTCTATAGATTCCCCATTATATGGATATTAATTTCCTGGAATCTATCGTACTACTAAACTCCTCACTCCAGCTCTGTCTGCTAAAGATTGTAAAATAATTTCACAGCTTATTCTTCCTTTTATCTATCTTGTTTCAGCCCTTTTCATTTTAAAAAGTTCAGCCCTTCCATTAAGACTTTTATTTGAACAATTAGAACTCTTCTGTTTCCTGAACCTTTACTTCATGGCTGTGATAGACTCTGAAGCAGGCCCCATGATCCCTGTCTTCTGGTAACTGTCATTTTTAACATCCTTCCCTGAGAGTGGACAGGACCTGTGTCTTGCTCTCACCCAACAGAATACAGCAAAGGTGACAAAGGGTCATCTGTGTGATTACATTAAAGGAGATAATAACATCTGTGCTGCTGGAAAAGCGCTCTCCCCTGCTGACTTTGGGGAAGCAAGCAGCCACGTTGGAATGCCTACATGGCAAGGAACTGAGGGCAACCTCCAGCCAACAGATGGCAAGAACTGAGGCCCTTTGTCTAGTCATCTGTAAGGAACTGAACGTTGCCCAATAACCATGTGAGCTGAGCAGTGGATCCTTCCCCAACAAGCCCCAGATGAGACCACAGCCCTGACCAACACCTTCATTGCAGCTCTATGGGTCCCTGAAGCAGAGGACCCAGCTAAGCCTGACCCACAGAAACTGCAAGGTCATTAATGTGTGTTGTTTAAAGTCACTAAGTTTGACTGGGCATGGTGGCTCATGCCTGTAATGCCAGTATTTTGGGAGGCTGAGGCGGGAGGATAATGAGGTCAGGAGATGGAGATCGTCCTGGCCAACATGGCGAAACCCCATTTCTACTAAAAATATAAAAATTAGCTGGGTGTGGTGGTGCACACCTGTAGTCCCAGCTACTCAGGAGGCTGAAGTAGAACGGCTTCAACCCGGGAGGTGGAGATTGCAGTGAGCCAAGATTGCGTCAGTGCACTCCAGCCTGGCGACAGAGTAAGATTCCATCTCAAAAAAAAAAAAAAAAAAAAAGTCATTAAGTTTGTGGTGATATTGTTATGCAACAATACACTAATACAAGAGCTATTTTAATTTGGTGGCTACCATGTCTTCTGGGATCAAGACTTTTTACAGCTCCACTCAGTCTCAATGCTGCTTCTCTGCGTGCGTCTCACAAAGTTGGGTTTTTCAGAGGTCAATATAAAGTTCCTGGCTGGAAAGAACCTTCTAATGGGTGTGACATAGGATTAGAGACAAAGACATGCATGTGTTGGAAGTTAGTGGAGGCTCTCTCACAAACAGTGGTCACAGAAGGCCTTGCTGGAGAAATCATATTTTACTAACCTGAAGAGAGCTCTAACAGCTAGGCTTCACTCGCTGTGGCAGGCCCTTTGGGTCAGCAGGGACACTGCTGCTCGTTGAGATGACTGAGCCCAGCTGTCACAAAACACCAATGGCCCGTGTCCTTAACCACAGCAAAAGTATTTTCAGTCAGTAACAGCTACCAATAAAAAACATAGGAAAATATGATAGTAATAGACATGCATGTGTTGGAAGTTAGTGGAGGCTATCTCACAGTGGTCATAGAAGGCCTTGCTGGAGAAATTATATTTTACCAACTTGAAGAAGCTGTAAGGAAGAGCTTTCCAAACTCAAAGAACAGTGTAATGTTCCTACCCCACATTGCCGTGATAACAAACTACCATAAACTTACCAGCTTAGAACCCACAGTTTGTATATCAGAAGTCTGGGAGGCTCTACTGGTTTCTCTGCTCCGCGTTCTAAAGACTGAAATCAAGGTGTCAGCTGACCTGGACTCTCACCTGGAATCTCTTGGGGAGGCTTTCTGGCTCATTTAGGTTGCTGAGAATTTACCTCCATGCAGCTGTAGGACTGACATCTCTGCTTTGTGTTGGCTATTATCTGGGGGCTTCTCTCTGGCCCTTGCGCATGGGCTTCTGCATCACAGAGCTGCAACTGCAGAGCAAATCCTTCTCATGCTTGGAATCGTGGACATCCTCTCTGCCACATCTTTCTTCTGCCTCTTCAGCCTTTCTCTTCTCTAACCAGCCAGAGAACATTCTCTGCTTTTAAGTACTTATGAAATTAGATTGGCCCTACACAAATAATTCAAGATAACCTCCCTATCTAAAGGTCTGTAACCACATTACCTCTGCAACGTCCCTTCTCAGCAGGGCCTAGATTTGACTGAATAAGCAGAGGATGGCTCTCTTGGAGGAACGTCTTCAGAATTCTGCCTACCATACTTTCTATATGGGAAACATGTTTGTTCACCTTAACATCCAGGGGGATGAAGCAAAGAAAGAAAGGAGACTGAAGAGAAATTATATTTGGCTCTAGGAAGGAAATTGTATTTTATTTGTACTTCGACAGGAATCTGTTGGAAGATTTTTACATGAGGAAGTATTGCTAACTTATACTTTAAAAGTGATCAGTATGCTGAGAGGAAAGCTTTCTTAGCAATTGTCTTTCATACTGCTCAGCCATTGACAGAGAGAGATGTGTTAACTGTGGTGTGAGCATGACCTCCTCTATGTCTTGGCATAAGCCTGCATGTGTCAGTGGCAAGGATATAGAGAAACTGCAGGAAAAGGGGTCAACCCTTAGAAAAATGTGGAAGTAGGTAAAATGTTACGAAGTGAGACAGTAGTTACATTAAGTTCCACTGCTTCAACAAATACTTGTGCTTCTGTCTAACGTGGCAACCAGAAGTACCTGCCACCCTGACTCACTTCTCAGGCTGCAGGGCCCAAAAAAGCCAGGTGACTGTAAATGGCTCCCAGATTTAGGGAAATCCACTTCCCAGTGGCTCATGGGCCTGCGCTCTGCAAGACTTGTCTTGGCAATCCTTTCAGATACCAGACCACTGGCCCACAGCCTATTTTGCTGCCTAAGCTAGGGATACAGCCCAGGCACTGCAGAGATAATCAATCTCAGCTGGCGTGTTCACAGCCATTATTTAGCTCAGGGATTCCAACAACCTAATACCATTTGCTCTGTAACCTCCAGAAATACCTGTCATATTTGAAATGGTATCCTTCTCTCTT